ATGCAGTTCCTGTCGGAAAGGAGCATTTGGGCCAGGAGAAGATGGAACATGCCCTGGTCAGGCTCCACTGAGGGGTCTGGGGCAGAGCCTTGGCGCGGCACATGGCAGCCTGGCACCTGTATACCGGATCTGTTTGTCCGGGGCTCTGCCTCCCAGCAGAACCCTGAGCTCAATTCAGCCTAATCCAAATACATCTCCTCATACCCCACAGATGTGGGCTTCCAGGTTCCTGGGATGAAATTGAGATGTCATAGGGGTAAAAGCATTGTCTGTAGGTTTCAGTGCCTGTCTAGCTTTGTGCTGGAGTGGCTTATGTTAAGCCGTATTTTCCTTTCTGTCCCTGAATAAGCTTCTCTTACTGATGGCGAGCAAGATTTATGTGGCAATTTGAGCAGCTGGTCTCCCGGGAGTGTTCCTTTCTCCAGAGAATTGCATATAATCTGGCTATCGGCTCTGCGCAGAGCTAATGGCTCGCGTACCCGGCTGCTGGGCAAGCAGAGGGTAGCCCCTCACCGACAGCTGACAGCTGAGGCTCGAAATCCCTCCTGTACAGAGGGCGCTGAGCCTGCGGGATTCTTTATGGTTTTTATGTTATCTGGTGTAAAGAAAGCGGCAACATCGTCCTCTGTGACATCTCTAATTTCGCTTTGGTGTGGTTAGGACAGCCGCATGCCCAGCGAGAGCCGTGAGAGGTCCCACTGCGGGAGTGCTCCCGAGCCCATGCGGCACTCCAGCCTGATCCTCCTCCCAGGTCATCGCCTTCGCTGCTTCTGAAGCGTTTTCTGCACCCTGCGGCGTCCAGCCTGGGATGTGGGTGCTCTCAGATCTCTCCTCCCCTTGTTGCTGACTCCGCGTGCAGGAGGCAGTGGGAGCGGGCAGCGGCTGCCCCTGCTCTCCCCGCTCCGCCCGCCCCTGCTTGGGCATCGGCGCGCTCGGGTGCTGCGGAGCTCTGTGGGCGTCGCCCTGCTTGCGCTGGGTTCTTCTTAAAGTTTCACTGGTCGAAATTTGAAGGTGGGAAAGGTTAGTATGCCAAAAGACAAAACAAATAGGCGCCATTCTGAAAATTTTTGTATCTGATCCAAAACTTTCAAGAAACCAGTTTTGAGTTGAACTTTCATTTGATTTTGATAGTCGTTTGACTTCTGGAGCTTGGCTGTCCTTTATTTATACATATGAAGGAATATTTACTGTGTGCAGTTGGCAGTCGAGTTTGTTGGGTTCCTAATAGAGATTTTATAACGGCAACTGTTAAATAAAAGCTGTTTGCTTGCCTCTCTAGTATTGTGTTAGAGCCGGTGACAGATGCTTCAAAGCTTTCTGGATCAAAGTAAGCATTGTGGGAGCACGGGGGCTTTTGTTGGTTTTGCTGTTTGTTTGTTTAAACGAATTCTCTTATCTGGAAGAAGTAGTGTTTATCCTAGTTAATGAAGGAGAACCCGCGGCATCCCGAGCGAGTCACCGCCTCTCGCCCGCGGGAGCACGGCGCTGGGGTGGGGGCTCGGGGAAGGTGACAGGTTGCTGTCCCAGCCGGGAGGCACCGGGGAGCCGGTGGACTCTGGGCTGGCTGTTAGCAGAGGCCTGCTGGGAGATGGAAACGCAGGAGATGCAGCGCTCTGAACAGGAAGAGCAGTCATTATCTTATTTCCCAGCACTCGCCCAGTACAGCTTTTATCCCTATGTGACCATATTGGGGTTTTTTTTTTAAACAAAAAAGTCATCAGAAGAATAGATATTTCAGACTACTGAAAAATAGCATCAGGCTATCCATGTAACTCAGAATTGTGCTGAGTGTTGAGTTTATTTCTCCTAATTACTTTCCTAAGTTTGTGCAGCATTGTTGTACAAACAACTTAGAAATCTGCTACACAGCTTTGGGGGAATTAGTGTGTTTTTTTCTTCATATATGCAGTGATATTTCTAGTGTGATTCACCATGAGAGAAACTTTAGATTTAGGCTGATGCAGTAAGGGTTTTTTTTAACCTGTAACTAGGTCATGTAAAACTCATAAAGAGGTCAAATAGCCACATTATTTCTTCAGTTTTAAAAACTTGGAGGCTTGGGTTTTTTTTAGAAGTATTGATAACAGGCTTGTTAAAGAGGCCCAGCAGAACATGCAGTCCTAAGACTGAGATTGCCTTGTTTTAAAAAACAAAATAGATTATTTTCAAAGCTGTCTGGGAAACTAGGTTTTTAAAGTAAACTGGTGTAGGCGATGATCCCTGAGGGTTTTAGTCAGCGGTCTGTACACCTCGTGCTGCTCTGCGGTAGGCATGTACCTGCTCTTCAAAGAGAGGTCTTGGGAAAGGCCTAAGAGGACCGGGGACAAGGAGCAAGGCTCAGTGTGTGCCTGGTTCTGCAGCCTGCCCTGCCATGGGCTGGGCTTACCCTGGGCAGGGGGAGCCTCGTTGTGCAGGGGAAGGTGCCGGGTGCTCAGCACTGGGCTAGGAGCCCGTCGGCCTGCACTTGCCGTTGGACACCAGCTGCTGAGCTGGGGCTCTCAATTAGTTTGCTCATAGTTAATGAACTTGCGAAGAGTTTAGTTGAACAGGGATAAGCCAGGATTTGTGCTTCAGCTGCCACCCTTCCTCACTGAACTTGGTGTGACATTGAGAGGATACACTTCATTTGTTTTCTTGAAAGCCTCTATCTCTGCAGACGTGCAAGCCGGCTTGGTGGAAGATGCTAATTTGTTCTTTTTAAACTCCCGTGGATTCTAGAGCATATTGTGTTCCCAAAACAGGCACTTGCAAGGGTTTCATGCTCTTCCTCTGCTGATGCGTAAGGTGTGTGAAACTACTTCAAGTCTGCCACCAGTTTGCTGTCTGAAAGATGAGTTATTATTCTAGGGACCTTAAGAAACCTGATGGCAGACGCGTGTAGTGCGCGGAGTGCTTGGGTGGGGGGTGTGTGCGTTCACTACCACCATGTGCTTCCTGTGGCTGTAGACGGTATGTGAGCTGATGTTCATGGTCTTAGTTCTTTTATTTTGCAGGAGGCGATGAGTGTGGTGACGCCAGTGCAAGTTTCCCAGCTGCTGCCTTAATTCTTGTGCAGTACCGAATTTCACATTGTCTTGCAGCCGCCTGAGTATCCATAGGCATCTTCAGGTATCTAGAAGCGATAATACAAAAGGTTGTCTTAACAGATTTAAGGTGGTGGGGTTTAGCTGATGGTTAGGTTTTACTTTTTATTTGGCTTGGGGGGGTGGTGGGTAAACCTACAGGCCGTGTGCTTGCTGGCGGTCGTGCAGCCGCTTGCTGTTCCTGACAGCAAGGTCCCAGACCCCCGACTCGGTGCTTACTCCCTGTTTCCGTGGAGGTGCTGTAGCTTCTGGGGCTAGGCCTCCACAGTAACTTCTCTTTCAGAAACTCCCTGGCTGTGGGAAGTTGCCTTTCCTTTGTATTCCTCCCTGTCATGGTATAAAGGAAACACGAAGTTGGACTTTTTTGAAACCGAAGTATGAAGTAAATAGAAAACGGGATACTCTGCGTAAGCACCAAGCAAGGCTGTTATGGCGGGAATCTTTAAGCATACACGCTGCTCTTCAGAAAGACTTGTGGGAAGCTCTGAGTCATGACCTCCTGTACAACAGTCACTTGCATATAGTGCAGACGTACATCTGTACCTCAAATGTTAGTGGGATTTCCCCCCACGCTGAGCGTGGTGCAAGCAAAGTGCACAGGGAATGAAGTTAACATCTATACCCTCTTCTTCCTGGCTTGGCTTGTGTCTTAAACACGTTTGGTGCATGAAGGAAAAAGAACAGTTACAGTCACTGGAAGGACTGATGGGCGAAGGAGGATGAAACAGGTGTGGATGTACAGTAACGTACAGCGTTTCGTGTTTAACAGTGTTTATGAGGCGCCATGCCGTGCCAGAGCTGGGCCAGGGCCGGGGTGAGGGCTGAGCCCCCAAGCCAGGCTGTGGGTGAGGCTACTGGAGCCTCCCTCGGCCCAGCCCCGCGGCTCCTTGCTCCTGGCCCGGGGCCACTCCCGCTGCGTTGTGAGTCCGCTGGTGTTCCGGTGTTGGCACGGGCTTGTACGCGTTGCCTGCTTCTTCTGTAAGCCTTAAAGGTGCAAAATCTCTTGTGTGGGGAGTGCTGGGGGCACCTGGGGCTGGGACAAAGATGTCTTCAGAGCCGGAGGGCTTGGGGCGCTGACGGGAGCCCTTCGGGTCGCTGTGTGGTGTTTCGAATGCGATGCGAGCTGCCGCGGTCCCGGGGAGATGGATTAGGTTGTGCCTGCTTAAGATTCAGGTCAGTTCCATGCAAATTTTTCATTCAGTATCCGAACACTGGGTCTTTTAAGAATTTGCCTGACCCACATAGGGCTAGTTTTAAACCCTCTGTAGCTAGATGATAAAGTTCTGCACTTACTTCAGGCCACTCAGTCTTGTCCAGTGCCTCTGCTGGTGCCTCTGGCCGAGGGACCTGTCTCCTGGCAGCAGTGAGTCGCTTCTCCACCATTCCCGGGTAGGACGAGCTTTGCTGGTGTGCAGCGAGCACAGGGACCGGCGCTCCAGGCTGGAAAGCAAGATGGAGCGTCGTTAGGGAAATGTGATCGTAGAAGTGGGATGGGAGGGTAGCTAAAGGTGATCTTGTCAAGCAGATCAACTGTTCTGTTGTGGTGAGGATTTGGTGGCCATCTGGCTGACGACAGAGTGTTCTCCTGTGGCTTTTGCCACAGCGTTGTAAGCACTTGTCATGTACATGAGTGCTTAGTTTAAATGGGGGGGGCTGTGTACATATCTCCTTGTATATCTAAATACTCTTCTGTCGTTCAGCTTTCACAGCAAATACCAGAGCACTTTGGCTTGCCTCTGTCTAGACTTTGTTTAGAAATTATTAATATTGCAATGAAAATCACTAATTAATACATCGTGACCCCAAGTTTCAACTTGTCACAACATTGTTGTTAGTTTCTACAAATGGTCTGTTCTGTGTAGCCTAGATTCTAACATGGTAAAAGTGTCGATTAATTTTTATCTTCTTTTCTTACAGTAAAAAATGGCATTTCAGAAGGCAGTGAAAGGAACTGCTCTCATTGGAGGAGGTGCCATAGCAACAGTTTTTGGCCTCTCTCAATTTTCTCAGTATAGAAACAAACACGTAAGTATTAATTATGATTTCTGATAAAATATGAAACTTAAAATCTGTTTGAGCGTATGTTAGGCTTATACGAATAGTTTTGTTTGGGAAGGAATGCCAAGAGCCTCTCAGCTTGATTTGGTAGGCGCAAATCTGGAGCGTGGCATTAAATGATGTTTCACTATTGTAGGTCTTCAACCAGTGGGGAAGTGTGATTCTTGTAAATCATTTTTCATGTTTCAAGAAATGACCTTTGTCTGTTACTAGGGATTTTACTTCATTGCAGGAGGAGTGGAAAGCACTGATTGAAGCAGAAGCACTAAGAAGGGTTTGGACAGTATTTTCAAACTTGCAAGCTTGACGTGAAACCACTAGCACAACCTCTGAAAATCTCAAGCTTCAAAATGGCCATGGTGCCAGCTCTTGTTCTGTTCAAAAAGCTGAAAACTGACAGTAGGATCTGTGCCGAAGGAGTCCGAGGCGAGGCTCAGGGTGTTTCTGGTGGGCACTGGCCTCTCTCAGAGTGGCTCAGCCTGGACACGGTGCGGTGCTTCTTCCAGGTGGTGAAGGCACACAGGCAGGACACGCTCCCCGAGCAGCGAGGGGTGACGTTGGAGGCTTACTGTTAAATTAAAGTAGTGGTAGCAGAAAGAGGTGCAGTGGATTCCAGTGTCAGTTTGTGTATTGATTCTTGCTGCTGCAGAAAATAGATCTCATTGGCGTGGCCGCTCCTCCGAGGTGAGCCAGAGTCACCTGCTCTTTAACTTGCTTCTCGGTGCAGAAGCCAAGGAGAAATTGGCAAAAGGAACGTGAGTTGTGGGCTGGTTTTAGGCAGAGCTGGTGTGGATCAACAACTACTCTTTGTCTTAAGCAAATAAATGCCCAAATGCCCATAATTTTAATGCTGTTGTGCTGTACTTCAGAGTTTTAGAAAGTAACTGCGTCTGGGCCTAGTAGACGTGTGTAAGGTCTGGTGTTAAATGCAGGCTGAGGCTGGCACCTCGCATTTGGCCAAAAATATTTGCGATCAGCATTCTGTAAAACGGTTGAAGTAGGTGTAGTCAGAGCTCTGGCTGATTTTCTCTTAGTCTGGGTTTGGAAAATCTTACGCCCAAGGAGCTCCTTTGCGGTGGTACCAGTCTGAGCAGCTAGGTTAGCAGGTGCTCATTTTGCGTGGTGTTTTCTGCTTCTCACCTTAGAAATGTAATCAGTCGGTTCTTTATCTAGACAAGCTGTTACTCTGTGAACTACTTTAGTTACCACACGTTTACTATAAGTTGCCATTCAAATTGGGCAAACTGAAAATAGGAACAGAAGTGGATCTTAATGGTCTAGTTGAAGGTAAAACAGTGGGTGATGGGAGACGGTCTGCGCTGAGCTCCGTGAAGGTGTGTATTACGTCTGAAGAAACGATAATGTGAATCTTCTGTCTGCTTCTGTGGGGAGGAGGAGCAGCAGCTGAGGTACTGGTAAAGCAAATGAGATGAGTCATTTCTGGGGAACCTAGCCGGAAAGTGGATAAGCCAGGATCCTTATGGCTTCAGAAAAAAATCTTGCAGAAAATAAAACCTAGCATTTAAAGTGAGCTTCCCATTGGGCTGCCTGTCTTGCACCTAGCTGATAACACTGTTTCTAACTCTCTCTGGAGTCTTTTTCACAGGATTTTACAATCTGGCCTCATTACTGTCAGAAATGGCAGCTTCAGATTTTAGGACTGTTAAATAAGAGGAGGAGTTGGAAAGGAAGAGGGATCTGGATAGCTCACTTGTTGTATATGCAGTATTCCAGAGTTCAGGGAATGGATGGCTATTGGATGACCATTATGAATTTCCAGAGGCGGATTAAAACCCGGAGTTTACAAAAGGTGATCATGGTGCTGAAATGAAAGAACCCCTTGTCCCGCAATTTCTAAACCTGTTGTGTAGGATCGGTCTACAAAGGATCTGAAAATTGCCAGCATATGTGTAAGCAAATGGATCTGTCAAGTGAACAGCGTGTTGTTTCCATGTTGTACTCACTTGCACATTTCCCACGTGATGTCCCTTAAAGCTGCTGCCTTAAACACCTAATATAGGGCAGCAGGTGGAACATAACTGGAGGGATTGACACAAAGGAGGACAGTCCATTTGTCGTGTTGACATATCTAAGCTGTGGGCATGTCCCCCAGCCCAAGTGTCCTCTTTTTAATAATGCCTGCCAATCAAATATCTGCTAGGGCAAAGATCTTGTCTTCCTTTGCCAGAGAAGTATATTGCCCCAAGATGTGCACTAATTGGCTACACGCTGTAGGAAATCTGTTGTTATTTCAAGAACAGAATCCATCACATAATAAGACAGAAATAAAACGCTCAGTTTTTTACCCATGTTCATGTCGCTTCACACAGGGACGGGATGTCTGTGCTGTGGTGAGCAGCCTGGAACTGGGAGCACCCAGTCACGGAATAAGGACCTGGGCTGGCTGATAATCCTGAACACACTGTCTGGGTGATCTGTGTTCTCTCCGCTGTGTTCTCTCCGCTGGTGTTCGGTGTTTCTGGGAAGCTTGCCTGTCCCGGGGAGTTCCAAGGGACACGCTGAAGGGTGGGGAAGATCTCGCCCTGCTGAATGGGTGGGAGGTCATTGGGATTTGTGAGTGCTTTGCCTTCTAAAAGGGGTGAGTGTTGGCAGTTCCTGATGTGGAAATTTAAGTGTCCTTGCTAGGCTTGAGGGTCGGGGCCTGACTGAGGAGAAGGCACAGTTAGCCTGGTTGTCTGGAACCAGCAGTAAAGTGTTCCCACCTTGGAAATAAAACACCCCACTGATTCAGGTCTGCTCCGGTTTTCAAGATTTTTATCCCAGTTTATTTTTCTGTACGCGCACATGTGTGCTGACATTTGGAGCACGTTTCTGCAGCTGCAGTCGAGGCAATATAACCCGAGAATATATATCCACGTGTGGCATATGCGGGAGTACGAGGGGTTTGGTAAATTGTCTTCCTTGTGTGCTGGGTTTTTTGACAACACACAGTTCCTGCTGAGCAAAGGGAGGATGGGAACACGTGTTGACGTGACAGAGCGGTTGAGTTTAACTCATAAGCTGATAGATGAATGTTGCACTTCTGTGTCTTTTATAGTAGCCTGATCACTGGATATTTGCTGAATTAAAAAACTTGGTTAGCTTAATGCTATGTGTAAGGGAATAAATAGGAATGATGCTAATTCAAGCAAAACCTCTTCCAGTAAACACCCAGGAGTGGCTTTTGGTGCTGAGGAACCATTACCCTCACGGAAGCAGGTGAAGCTTTCTGTGCAGCCTTCGTGACTTCAGCTGTGGAGGGTAAACACTTAAGGCTGGCGAGGGGGCTTTAGGCTAGATGAAAAAGAAAAACCCTTTTCCAGAGAAGAGGAATCAGTTGGGGAGCTCTTGACAGCAGGTAGTGCTGAGGTCTGAAGGAGCTAGTCCCTCCTAGACAGTTTTTGGGTAAAGCGAAAGTGTGCATAGAGTCTGACATTTTTTTTTTCAGTGCTACTGCTGTAAATGAATTTCATCTTCAATGAAAGCTGTTCAATCCATGTACGCTACACTGACCACCAGTCATGAGCTCCTGAAAAGAACAATTGCATCCGAGATGAAGGTGGCCCCCTCTGTGACATAAAATACACAGGCTATGTACATAATGGATTGATTTGCCCTCAAATATTCGGGTGCCTGAATGGCAGCGGCGATACCGCCAGCCTTCGCTAGCCGCCTCACTGGCGCTTCCAGCGCTGACAGTGACAGAGAAATGGAAATACCAGTTTCTTGTGCTTCCTGGCAATGCTGACTAAATGTTCTTGCTTTTTGTGCCTTATTTGAATGCATCGAGGCAGGTGAGCTAGTACTAGATATGATGTGGGTGTTCTTTGCTGTGCCAAGTTTGAATTGGAGACCCCGCAATGATTTCCCACCCCCCTCCTCATCGTTAAGGCAAAGAGCACTGCTTTGTTTTGGAGGTGTAAGAGATTCCTGTCTCTTCCTCACTATGTTCACCCAGCAATCCTTCCCTCCTGGTCTGTAAGTACCTTGTTGGTCAGTAGGAATTGCTCATCGGGTGAATCGAGTAGAGTGTGATGATATGATAATGCATCGGGGCCTGCTTTTGGGTTTTTTTCAATTACTTCCTCTTTTTTTTAATGAACAAGGATGATGAATTTGACTTTGCAAACCTACCTGGAGATTTACATTAGCAAATTAACAGGAATGCTTGCTTATGGATTACTAGATCACTTTATAACTTCATGATTAAATTCAAACTGCCAAACTAAATTTCTTCTCGCTAAGAGTGTAATCAAAACCATTCAAGGAACTCTTGCCTGAGAAATTGTAGATATAAACAGCAATTGCTTATTTCAGTAAACATACTTGTTCACTGCCAAACTAATCACGTTATTGCAGATGGAATCCCTGTATGCAGCTTTTCTTCACTCTCACATTTAATTGACAGCAAGATGAATCATATCTATATCAATTCCTAGTGCGCTAATCGCTTTGCTTATATTTCAGTGCTAATCTCCATGCTCTTGCTCTACCAGTGGCTATCTGCTTGGGAGGCTGCTCTGTGCTTTACTGTAAGCCATTTGTTGTACATAATGGGTTTAAAAACCAAACAAAAAAAAATATAGTCAGACCCAAATGGTGCTAGTACTTCTTGAACTCTGAATTTTGTTTTTCTCGCATCCCCTTGTTTTCCTGAAGTTAAGTTGTGCACTTTGAAAACACTTGTTTTGCTGAAGAAGTCGTGTCTGGAACCAGTGCAAAACTCATTTTGAAACGGGGGATTTTCCCTTTTTGAAAGTTTCAGGAAGTTGAGCATATGTAGCTGAACTTGGATCAACCAAAACACATGAAGACTAAGCCACGGGTGGTTTTGGTCTTCACAGTTTCCTTCTCATCACTGCTGTCTCCCAGTCCCAGGGTGGTGTTTGGTGGAGCCAGGAGATCAGCTGCCTGGCTGTGCTCCCTGCAGCGCTACGGCACTACAACCCTGTTTAATGCAGCAGCTTGCCCGGGAGACGCCGGAGGCTGTGCAGGAGGCCAGGCAGTAACGCTTCCTACGCAGCCCAGAAACCTGCAGCGTTGTTGCAGTTTTCAGGTATTCAAGGAAGAAAAAAACCTTTCCTGTGCTGCTTCTGGTCCCCTGTTGGGAGGGGAGGCTGTGCAGAGCCGCTGCCGGGGGGTCCCAGCAGAGCCCCGCAGGAGCACGGGGCAGGAGGGTCGTCTTCACAGCCGTGGAGGAAGGAGTGAAGACAGGGATGGCCGGATCCTCCCAGCACCCCCCTCCTCGTGTCCCTGGGAAAGCATGTTCTGGAGCCGCATCAGTGCACATGCTTCAGGGATGTCAAAGTCTCTGCCATGGTTTGGGGGATGTCAAAGATTTGAGTGCTGCTAGAGGTGAGCAGGCTGGGGAGAGAGTGGGGCAAGAGGCAAAAGTCAGCGGGCATGTCCGGAATTCGTTGGTCAGCAAAATAATGTGGAAGCAAATTTCTTTGCAGTGCCAAAGCTCTGCACCTTGTGTGACAACCTCTGCCCAGGTTGTAAACCCCTGCGAGCGGGGGGGCCGGGGCCTGGGGGGCTCATCAGGATTCACCTCGCTGCTGTGCTGGCAGCGCCTCTGCCTCTGTTTGAGGCTTCAGTGGGTTTAAACAAGCTTCTAATTAGGAGACCTTTTGTTACTCTGCGTTTGCAGTTGGTGAGTAAGCCTGGGCCACAGTTGGTCGAGTGCTTAATGTGGGTGCTCCCGCGGGTGAGACCGTGCCCAGGCACTTGCTGGGCTGGGGGGACCCCAGCGGACACCACGAGTGCTGTGCTTGGGAAAAATTAGTGGTATGACCATAGCCTGGGTCATGATTTGCCAAACTGGCTGGTTTAAATCTTAATTTTCACTTTCTTTCCAGGAAGGTAAAAATCCTTAATATAAAGTGTCCAACTTTCCTTATTGACTGAATTGTAGCACACGTGCAGTGAAGTTGCTGAGTAATTTGCATGAGCTACTTGCATCTATATTATCCATGATTACAGGATGAACTTGATCATTAGTTATCTTTTGAATATGCGCTTCCTTTAGATCTGGCTACTAGTTATTGGATTTTATTTCCAGTTGTATAGCAGTGATGGGAACATTGAGAAATAATATTGCTGAAGAATGAGCAAATAATTTGGAACGAAAATATTGAGGTTGCATGCACCATATAATCTGAGTTCAGGCTTCTCGTGCATGGCTGGATTGGCCGTTAATTTATGGTGGACACGTGGCAAGAACAGCTTTTACCTTTGAGTCAGGTGCCTGCTTGCAGAGCTCTGTGGCAGCCAGCGAGTTGCTCGCCGGAGAGGAACTGCACGGGTTGGGTGGCGGCGCACGGAAACCCCTTCGGGCAAGCGGCCGACTCACCTTGTGTCAGCCGAGCCGTTTTCGTGTGGCAGGTGTCTGTTCCCTCCCCGGGATGCCAAGGACAGTGGTTAAGCTCCAAAAACCTGGAGATGGCTTATATTAACAGAGAGATTTTTCTAGGAGTGTCTGGGAAATTCAGAATGTGGGGTGAGCAGGGACAGAGCACGGGGCAGGGGATTGGTGCCTTGTGGCAGTGAGTTTGCAGCAGGATGGGGCTTGTCAGGAGCCCTTTTGGGGGCAACTGTAATCCTGGGTTAACAGTGCAATAAGCACTGAAGTTACACGAATAACAGAACAACTTACCGAATTCAGTTTATTCAAGGAACATTTGGAAATACAAACTTAAATGAGAGCGCTCCCTTGCACGTTGTAAGGGTAGACAGATTGTTTTAGATGGTAGTCAGAAAGTAGTATTTTGTATTTTGTCACTCAGATTTATATTAGTTTACTCTTTCCTGTCTAGACCTGGACACAAGCTTATATCAGTTAAGACATCAGTTAAGATGGCCATTTGGACTAAAGATAGGACCATCCTCAGACCTTAGACCGTAGAGTTTAAACAGGTTTTTCTTGTGTTGAAGCTGTTCATGATTTTCAGGAAAAGTCTTAAAATGTTAATTCTTAATTTCTGGTTTACTTTGATCCATTCTGAATTGGCTAATTCGTTCTTCTGGTCTGGGTAGCGTAGGCGTTTGTTTTCACGTACATATTTTGAATAGGTAGTGGTTGAGGCAGTTCCTTCTGGAAGCGCTAGGTTCTAATAACAGCACTCCTCAATCAGGCAATGTGCAGGGCACCAGAATCTGGTTATTTCTGAAGACCTGGCTCAAGTGATGTTCTCAAGGCCGTGGGGGGGGTCTGCTGCCCCGCTGGGACGTGCTGCGGGTGTTCTGGCGTGGTGGCCACACCTCGATGCCCCTTCTTACGTGGTGAATGCAGTGCTTTGTCTGCCAGGCACATGTACGCAGGGGTGACTACTCTGTTGGGGAACACGTGGGTCCTTTGGGCCTCAAAAACCAGTGGTGAAAGAAATTCACTGTCTAGTTTTGTGCAGAGTGAGGGACAGTGGTGAATGAAGAAAACTTGCGGGGAAAACAGCTGGAGCAAAAAGCTGGAGCTGAAAGCAAAGAGAAAGCAAGTGTGACTTCTGTGATCTTGCACCCTCTTTAACTGTCTGAATCCCTGTGATACCTGCCTGCAGCCCACTGTGGATAAAACTAGTGCGTGTGAACCCCCAGCGATGGTGCCTGTGACACACGTGATGAAGTTTATGACCAGCAATATGGTTTGGGGATTCCAATGACCGTAAAAGTTTTCAGAATTCAGCTTAAATTCACGTTAACCAGTTTCTGAAGGCTCTCTTCTGTTAAAACCTTAACACTGAAACCATGGTCTGTGTGGGTTGACTGAGCAAGCACATCAGCCTTTCTCACCACGGTCACTAGATGGGGAGTGGCAGTGGCTCGTGGAATACCGGGCAGAGTACTGGGGAGGCCCTCAGACCTTTCCAGTAGAATCTGAACGTGTCTAGAAACTGCCACATGGTGAAGTTTTGTCACTTTAAAGTCAAGTCGTCTTTTAGCATCCTGTGGGATATAGATTGCTTTGCTTAGAGGGTTTTCAAAAGGATGTGGAAATAATGTTTCTTTTAGTATACTGTATTTGACAGTAAACCACATTGTCTCATGAACCTGATCAAATTTGAGCCTAGATTAATGCCACTGTATGAGTAATCAATTTTAAAATATGAAATGTACATTCATCTTTAAGTCCTTTGCTTTGATGGATTTTTTGGTAGAGAGTTGAGAGCCTAACCATGTGTCTGTTTATTAAAATACTTCCCGAGCCTCCTGTGACATCTGACATAGCGGAAGACTATTCCTAGAAATAATTAATATAAATAGTAGCACTTGACTACAGCATTATATTGAAGTAGGCAAGGTGAAGTAAATGTGTGCTCTTTATGGTTTTAGTACTGTTTGTTGCTCCATGATGTTTTAATACGATATTACTGTTATTAAATATAGGTAAAGTGATTGGGGGTATTTGTGTTTACCTGTGTGGTTATAGAAGATGCTGTGATTTGGGGGGGGTGGGGTGTGTGTAGACACAACAAATACAGATCCTGTGTGTTGTTTTTAATCTTTGTAGGGTACCTTTGTGCATGTTCAAGCTGCAGAAGCTGTGACTGTTCCAATAAAGAACCATTTTCCCACAAGAGAACAACAGATTTTGGCACTGCAAACCACGGGTGAATTTGATGTCCTTGTTATAGGCGGAGGAGCAACAGGATGTGGCTGTGCTTTAGATGCAGTCACTAGAGGTAAGACTTGAAAATTTAATTGCGTTCTTGGATTACATGGTTTATAATAAATCTATCTGGTTTAAGAAGCTACTAGAAGCAGCAGAACTGATGTTATCTTTGCACGTAGCCTTAACTTGGGGAAAACTGAAGGTGAAATGAGTCTAAGCTAATGCTTTTTACCTGGCTTCTGCAGGAGTACAAGACATGTGTGGTGATAGTCAGCTGTTGCCCAGCAGCTCGTGCAGGCCATCAGCCCTATGAAAAGCTCTGTTCAGGGGCTGAAAAAGCAGGGCACTAATGCCCAGGGTCTGCGTCACCCACCTCGCACAGTAACTTTGAAACTGGGCAGCAGGTTCTAATCAAATTTGACAGGTTTCAAAGAGAATAGGTCATTTTACAAGCTTAATGACAGCAGATCTTCAGCTACAGAGAGGAGAATGCACGGGTACTGTTTCTGCAGAAGAGGCTGTAGCATCAGCTCTTGTTCTATTCAAATACTGTGTTCCCCCAGAATATCATCTTTTTGTCCAAAAAGCTGTGTAAAGGATTTCTAAGAAAAGCTTGTCTTGGAATGTTTTATTTTCAGTACCATCAGCCAATGAGAGAGAGAACCACATTCCGTGGCTTCTGTATGCGTAGACCTAGTTTCTGGGTTTAGACCTAAAATGAAAAAAAAAAAATTACAGTGTAAAACATAATAGACAGCCATGAGGTTCTTCATGTTCTTTAACCTGTAGATATACCTTAGCAATAAGATGCAAACCTGACTCCAGGAGTGTTTGGTAGTTTAATAATTTTGAAGTAGATTAAGCAGTAAGGTCTGCACCGTTGGGAGATACATACAAACTCAGATGTGGTTGTTACTTATTTTCATGTGTTGATGTGCTGTTAAATACATTTTGTTGGGATCTTTTCACTTCTGCCTCTGCTATATTGTGGTAGAAAATGCAGTTGTAAAGCATGCAGAAATTATTATAGTTAATCTGTGTTTGTCCTTTTACTAGATATTCTGATTATATCAGTAGATTTCTGAAGTGTGAAATATTCCTAGGCATTTGGTTAATGAATTGTGTATTGTTGCTGTTCATTCATGGAACTTGCTCTTGTATTATGTTTGCTTCGCTTAACAACAAATTCTGCTTTTCATGTCTTTGATGTATCTTCACCAAATTATTTCTGATTGTATCCATTAATCTTCAGTCACATTTGACAAAAATAAATTACTCTGATCTTTGGAAGCTACCAGTCATAATTAGATGATTTTTAAGGACATAGAAGTTTTGGGAGACCAGCAGACGCTCAGATGGATGTTCACCCGGCAGTAGCGTGCAGCGCCCCTCGGAGAGGGCGAGGGCCGGGACAGCTCCCGGGGCAGGCGGGGCTCTGCTCCGTGGGTGTGCCTTGCCGTGCTGTGGCTGTCCCTTCGGTAGCGTTGTTGCTGAATCTCATTCACTCTTTTCCTTGCCTGCCTAACTTTAAAATTCAGCCAGCGCCGGAGGGGGGCTGTGAGCTAACTTCTGTAAGGCAGGTTGTCCTTCCACAGAGGTTTTAAGTGAAAGGTTGCCACGTCCTTGCCGTGTGGGCAGCACGGGGTACGCGATTCCCACGTGCAGCAGTGTGCCTTCGCCCACGGAGAGCTTTTTCCCATCCTCCGGGGTGACCGGGAACGCAACTTGTGCAAAAGATGTGCCAGCCCCGTTCCAAGCGTTTGGTAGAACAAGCGCTGTCAGGTCTGGCTGTGAAGCCCTCTGTGTTCTGGCTCTGACCATCCGTGAGCCACCTGCTTCGCCCTCCTTGTGCTGGTCAGACGGTGCCGGGACACGTGCGGGTGCGTTCTCACGTCAGCTGTTTTCTGAAATACTTAGTAACGTCTCACAGCGACTGCTCTGTGTGTGCGTGTGGCTCTCTGGTGAGCTCTGCCCCAGGGTGCCCGTGGCTGGCTCTGCCCTGGCTTTGGGCACTCTTTAAGCAGACGCCGATGCCAGCTGCCTGCCTCTGGAACGCTCTTCAGACTGTCCGTGGGATAGGTTCAGAGCACTCTGCTGCAAAGGGTTAAAAGTAGTCATGAAAATACTCTCTTCCTGCTGTGAATACGAACTATCATTTGCTGGAGGGAGCATGGCCCCTATAATGTACTGTAATGCCTTTCTATTGTGAAATATCCAGGTTTTAATGTGCTTCTGTTTAAGTTCTGTTTTGACTTTTCCCTTAGGAAGGAGGCTAAAATTTTTCATTACAATATAGACAGTGCACTACACTTTGAATACAAATTTATCCATGTACAGAGTAATTTTTCTTGTGATTGTCTCTACCCTAGAGAAGTGTCTTTAATGAATTACATACAAATTGTGTAATTTAAGAAGTTAATTTCGTTTTCTGGTAACACAGGACTAAAAACAGCCCTTCTAGAAAGAGATGATTTCTCATCAGGGACCAGCAGCAGGAGTACTAAATTGATCCATGGTGGAGTGAGATATCTTCAGAAGGCCATCATGAAGTTGGATTTTGAGCAGGTAATTGTTTATGCTGGTTGTTAAGCAAAAATTGCTAGTAGACACTTCCCCTATCCCAATTATATCCAAGTCTCCTTTTTATTTTTTCAGTACTTGACAGTTGTATTCCACAGCCGCTGCACACAGAAAGTGTCCTCTCCAGTGGAGCTTTCCAGACTAGCAGAATTGCTTCTGCTGCCTTTTGCTAAATTCTTTTATGGGCAATCTAATGACTGTCTGTGTAATTAGGGGAAGGCAGGCAGAGGCAGGGCTGGCTTCAGAATAAAAAGAACTTCCTGCCTGTCATGATCAGAATTTGGGGGAGTGAGTGGTCATCCTGTTTATTCTGAAATGGGGAAAGAAAAGAGAGTAAATGAGTGATTATATATAAATGCTTTTATGTATTCTTGTGTTGGTGGAAGCATGATATTCTTGTTTTGAGAAATTGATTTGTCTTCTCATTGAAACCTCTCTAACTTTTGAAGTATGTTTTAATGGTTATAATACTGCTTCAGAAGCAGTGACTTCTCAGGGAAAAATATATAAAACATGCAGTTACCCAGCTCTAGAGATGAATCTTTTTTGCCAAAGAACAACTTCATCTTGATTCATATTGATTGATTTGGAGAAGAACACTGCTGCATTTGCAGCTCGGAGTTAGTGTGGGATTTAGTCGTGGGAAGTGGCACAGAAGCTGCACTGTGGGATGAGTTCTGACCCCCCTTAAGTGCCCGTAGTCAGGAGTAACACACCTGACGGTGCTTTAGGCTCAGATCAAAAAAATGCTCACCTGATCTGCCAAGACACCAAAATGAAACTAGTGAAATTATGTTTTCTTGGGAAACATTTTCCTTAACTTTTGAATTTTTCAGCAAATCTCTGCGTGTTTGAAAGAACAGTAAAAATTATGCAAAGTATTTGCTTTGATAAACCGTTTCTTATTAAACGTTGCACATGGAGACAGAATTGAGTAGTGTGGGATTCACATGCTTGCTTCTACTTTTCAGTACAAGATGGTGAAAGAAGCACTCGAGGAGCGCGCAAATCTTCTTGAAATTGCTCCTCACCTCTCCGCTCCTCTGCCGATAATGCTCCCTGTCTACAAGTAAGCTCTGCTAGAACACCTCCCCTCACCACTGCTTTCGACAAGCAGGCTGTTTCCCCGGAGAAGGTTCCAGGTGCCTCCTTCCAAGCTTGTCTTTGAACCTGTCAGGAGTGTGGTCCTGCAGGCGGTGAGATGCTGCCTGCTGTGGAAGCAGGGCGTTATGATGCTGGAGCTGTAAGAACAGTTACTCGCTCTAACAGGCTGCTCAGAGCAGTGAGGTTTTGCTGAGTGGTCTTAATGTACAGATTTACTCCTGGCATGGTAGAAGGGGCTTGTAGTAACTGGAGTTCATGCGATCAGCTGCATCTATTTGGCCCTGTTGGTGCGGGAGGCGTTAGTCGAGATGGGCCTTTGGGGAACCCTTCCAGTGCAGACGCAGCCCCCCTCTTCCCTCAGCACTGAGCTTTAATATCTCACCTGATGCTGAAGTACAAAATGCCAGTTTGTGATCCTAATTCTAGAATAAATAAAGCCTCGAATCTGCTTGACTAGCTGCAGTGAGTAATCGGTTGAAAACGGTGGTGAGCAATACGTAAGTTCTTGCATGTTTACATTGTGATACCATGAACTCGTGTGGCAGTACAAAGGAGAGCCGGTGTCCCACAACATACTGTGTTACTTCACAACTTCTGTATTACAATAACAGTGTGCATGTGCTTTCAATTTTTTTTTTTTTAATTTCACTTCACAGGGAATTTTTTATTTTTTTTTCCCCACAGATGGTGGCAGCTGCCATACTACTGGTTTGGAATAAAACTGTATGACCTCGTGGCAGGAAGTCAGTGTCTGAAAAGTAGTTACGTCCTTAGCAAGTCACGGGCCTTGGAGCTCTTCCCAATGCTGCGCAAAGACGAGCTTGTCGGAGCTATTGTCTACTATGATGGTAAGTTGCCTTTCTGTGCTTCCCTTACTGCGTCGTGCTGTGTTTCGAGGGGGGAGGAACACGAGTGTGCGATTGTAGATCACATGCATTGACTTTCTAAAGGGAAGAACAACAACTTGAAGGCTTCAACTTGCCTCTTCAGCATTAATTTGGTAGATAAATGATGTCTTTCACAACAGTAACTTGATGTAGAAGAGAGGATATGTTAGCTTTCTTGGCTGGTGGGTATGGTGAAATATGGACACGTTCTAGTGATTCCCTACAGCTTTCCAGCTCTGTGTGGTTTTGCTGTACACTTCTCGGACTGAACCCCTCTCCTGAGGCATTTAAGCCAAGAAAATGAGATCATTTGGGTAATGTTAAATGGTTTGCTGTAGCACTTCCCCATGCAAACAACTTCAAACCTCTCTGGGGGATCTGGCTGCTGGTTCTCGCACTGGGTTGGGTGAGGCCTGGATCTATTGCATTTTGTATCGCCAGGAAAATTAGTTGCTCTGCCATTGTAATTACAATGAAATACTAGAGACTGCTGCAAGACATGAATGGTTTCTGTTAAAATCCCTTTCTTTAAAGGGTTATAAATTCATGAGAGGAAAAATGCCTCCAGCTCGAGTTATTTAATCTATTGTATCAGCTAGTTTTAGGTATGTTTGTGTATAACACACAAATTCTGCGTGGGAGAAAATAAAGCTGCTTCCTGCAAGTGTTCTCATGTTCATTCAGTATAGGACGATGATTTAACAGAACTCATTGCAGCCCTCTAGAAGTAGCAATTTTCGTGTTCAGAAGCGTTCCTGCGTATTCACGTTTGGGAAGTGTCACTTTTGTTTGTAATGCAAGAACAGATGAGCCTTCTTGCCTTGCTTTGTGAAGTACCTCTGGTGATAAGGCCCTCGCCCAGCTGTACAGCAGCAGGTGCCGCAGCGGAGCCGCCCAGCCAAGGAGCTGACTCTGTCCCTTCGGGCTCTGCAGAGGCACAAGGCAGTCGGAAGCAAAACTGGTGAAGGCTGGGTTGGCTTTACAGAAACTTTGCTTGTCTGGAATATTAGTGCTTGTGTTGATGTACAGGTGTCTTGAGCTTTACCCAACCTGCTGTAGCTCAGTCTTTTCAAATGTCACGCAAGTTACGTCCCCAAAGAGGATTGAAAAAATACCCAACTTGTACAAATTCTAAATGCTGGGAAGTTCACTGAGAGTACCAGGGCATGCTGCCATAACTGCTTTCCTGGTGCACTCGCTTATCTTGGCATATCTAGACGGTGGGATATCTTTTCTTTCCAGATAATATCTTATCTTTGACTTGTGCGCTGTTACATGATGTGTTTTTAATTAGGTTGGTATTCCTCCTTCTCCAGTCCTCTTCCACTTCCCTTCCGAGGCAGAAAGTTTGATAAAACTTTGTTAGTAGTGGGGCCAGCCAGATGATATTCAGAATGTCAGATGTGTTCAGGATAGGGCAAAAAACCGTAGAGTCCTTGCAGGCTTGGAGGAGCCCTCCAAAGAATAAATAGCTTAAATACTGATTTACTTCAGTAGTGCTACAGTTCTAGTTTTTACCTGAAGATGTAGTTTCTGACCTTTTGGCAACCAGAAAGGTCTTCACACAGGATTGATTATAAAGGTAGTTCTTTTCCCTTTTTAGAACTGCATTTACACTGTTCATCAGCTTATCAATAGGGGCTTTTTGTACTGGGAAGAAGTAGGAGGGACTCTTGAAACGCACTGGACTCGGATGGTATTTATGAGGCTTCTGGCAAAAGCATATGTTGATAATTGCACGTTGTCTCATACAGAGCCCAACAGAATGAAAAAAAAAGTATATATATGCAGGAATATATATGTGTATGTTCTGATTTGGGAGTAGGGTGAAATTTTAAAGGATGGGGACTTGATTTTTACTTACCTCTGATGGAGACGGCATCTTCTCTCTCTTATTTTTAAGGTCTAGAGGAAATAAGAGGTTATTCAGAAGCAAAATTTTTTATGGGATGATGTGGTATTTTTTTGTATACTGTAACAAGAGCTGCTGTAAATAGCATCCATGGAAGTAATGCAGATTCAGTTTTGCATTATCATGAGCTATCCCTTAGACTGTTTTAAGGGATCCCAGGAGCATGCAAGAGGAACGAAGTGGTTCTCTTAACTGTAATTACACTTCTCATAAGAGCACTATAACTTGAAATCTATTTATAATCTATTGAAGTTTTTTCCGATTAAATAAATAGTTTGGATGTATCATAGCTATTTACTACTGCAGCATTCCAAAGAAGTGCATTTACAAGATAGCCTTAAAATTAGTCTTTAAGTTTCTTGGACGAATAATTATTTTAAACAGTGTTGCATCAAATCTGAACATTAAGCACCAAGGTACCACGTGGCCTCTCGGTAGAGAACATCGGCACAGCGCGGAGCGCTGGGGGGCCAAGAGGTGGCTCTGATGGGTTTTGTTGCCTTCCCAAGCGATGGGAAGCAAACCCACGCTCTGCATGTTGGGAACAGAGGAGTGTAATAGAGGAAAAAAGGGGGTGGGAAAAAAAAAAAAAGGGAATGTACAAATTCTCAAAGAGCAGTTTAGAGGGGAAGGAAGATTGCGTACTCACTGTTTGTTCATACAGGTTTGGTAAAGTCAGGGAGAGACTCCTGACTCTTCTCCTTCAGAGGAAGAGCTGCGGTGGTGGCAGGACTCGGGCTGTTTCAGTAGATCAAAAATAGACTTGAAGTTTTGCTGCTGGTGAAACTACTTGTTCGTGCTATTATAATCTGGCCTTTTTTTGCTTTCCTTATGAGACTGTGCAGAATTTAAAGAAATTGTGGTTTACAGTGAAAAACTTAAAAAACTCTCAAAGCTCCACCAAACCTCAATTTCCTAGAAGAATAAAGTGGTTCTGAAGGGCCAAAGTATCAAATTTGTGATCTTATAATCTACATTTGGGTGCTTTGAGGCTGCACCTAATGCAGAATAAAAATTTGCTGACTAGGATGTTAAATCAATGCTTAACATGCCACGTTTCAGAAGTAAATTTTGTCTGTAGTGACTCCTCTGTAGGTCAGCCTATGGCTGATGGGCTCGCGTTGTGTTCTAACACGTTAATTATTTTATCACGATCGATTAACCTGTGTTCTGTCCACAGTAAATTTGTTTCAAGTGATAATGTTTCATCAAGTGCACTTTAGATTTTGTAAATTATTATAGTTTAATTTTAATGATATACTTTCATGCCCTAAATCTGAAGGAATGGAGGACAAAAGGGAAAAGGAATTGAACTTAGAGCAGAGAAGGGGATGATAAGATTGAATTAAATCCCTTTTAGTACTTTCAGAAGGATTAGTTGTAAAATAGAGCATTAAATAATGGTGAAAATATATATATATATTTTTTTTTTTTTAAAAAAGCCTTAAAGTAGGTCATATCTTTACCTTCTCTGTCCATCCCTTCTCTGTCTTCCCTAAATAATGAATAAATAAAATGGCCTTTTAAGAATGGGATGTCTTAACTGGTTCTATATGTGCAGTTAAATGTAATTTTATTTTGTTTTCTAGCTTTTCTCTCTTCCTGTCTCTGTCATACTTGCTTTGTGTCTGTAGTTGTTAATGGCACCTACTAGCAGCATCTCAGTGTTTGGCATGTTGATCACCACCACTGAAGGGAAGAATTAAAAACCTTCATTATGTACGTTCCTTTTTTTTATTCGATGAAACCACCTGTCCAGTTATGACTTCTGGTGGCAATGTTCTCTGGCAGAGGAAGGATCAGGAACGCTCTTTGGTTTGTTTTGTAATTGTTGATCAAACTAGTGGCATGTCAGATAATCCATTATTCATGAATTTGTTGTGTTCTGAAATGTTGCTGTGGTCTTCTTAATTACATTTAAAAAATTGTTTATACGGGGGGAAAAAAAAAAAAGGTACATTATAAATGTTGGAAGTACCAGCTACAGCAAATCACAGACTTTACCAGAGGCTATTCTTGCTCTGTCGCAGCATCAGGAAACTAAAGCATATGTTGGATGTTAGCCTGGGTGTACACAATGTGTCCTATTTATTCAAGGTTTTCTTTGAAGCCACAACTTACAAGTTTGTTTCTTAGGGGTACATGTCAGACTTCATTTAGCATTTATTGGTATTAGGATACTCCTGAATAGCAAAAAGGCAACATTTTGGGGGAAGAACGTGGCTGCTATCTGAGCAGTGATCTGTCAGTTCCACTTATGTAGCTCAAGGAAAACTGGAGAAGAGGCACTTCAGAGAAGCTGGGCTGAGATCTCCAGATCATAGGCAGCATTATTTTAAAGCACTATAAATGGAAGAATTAATCTCCATTTAAATTATATATAGTTCATTATGTTAATGTTAAGAACTAGTTAAGAACTAGAAAAAACATTAAAGCAGAGATCCAACTGGCCAGAATATTTAAATGTAAAGTGTTTAGAAATTCCAAGCAGCGCGGTTCTTTTTAAGATGCATTATTTTTCTGTCTCTAGGTGCTTGCAGACTTTTTTTGTTAACATATTTTTGCCTCACAAGATGAGCCTTTAGGTGTGTAAGGAAAATTTGTGTTCTGGAATCAGTCATGAATTTAAAATTTTAGGGCTTTGTGGACCTAAATTTACTAAATTTGAATTTACTGCTATTCTGTGAAAGCAGGAATTAACATACGCTACTTCTGTGAGTCTTTTGCCACACCAAGGTATTTGATTGTTTAATGTTTTGTTCTACCAATTTCCAGTCTACTTGCTGGGATGTAAGTAATTTTTAATGGTTTGTTATTTTTTGCATTCTCGGTATTTTTGTATATATTCTCTCCTGAAATATTTTAATATGGAGGTTATTTAAAGGTGGAAAAAGAAGCTTTGGCAGAGGATTTAGCTTTCCTTGTTTACAGCAAACCCCATGAGAAATCCTTCCCAGGCACACATGCACAGACACACATACACACAAAAATCAATGCAAAAGAGTAGGGCATTCATTAAGCTGTCAAAAATGGAATAAATGCTTTTTTT